CACACAACAACACACTCTCACACACACACACACACACACACACACACACACACACACACACATATATATATATATGTATATATGTACATATGTATGTAGATATATAAGTATACATATATATATATATATATACATATATATATATATATATATATATTTACATATAAATATATATATATATATATGTTAGCGACGTATATTGTATATATGGATATATATATATATATATATATACATGCATATCCATATACATGTGTATACACACACACACACACACACACACACACACACACACACACACACATATATATATATATATATATACATAGATATATATGTTTTTATGTACTTTATGTATTGTATATATATATATATGTATATACATATACACACACACACACACACACACACACACACAACACACACACACACACACACACACACACACACATATATATATATATATATATATTACCATACTGACAACACATAAACACATATACCTTGGAATAGTGGTGCCTGCCTTTGTTTTACCCGTACCAACCCCCTTCCACTCTACAGGGACGCTGTGGGCGAGGGCTTGTTTTTTCTTCGGCTTTCCCATCAGTGCATTGAAAGCGTTTCGCTTCTTGTTGTCTTGTGACATTTCAAACACTTTATCTGTGCATTTATATAGCTAGAAACTATCAACGATGCTTTAGATACGCAGTTGTATGTATACTAAATCAGATACACTTTAAGTAAGAACATGGGCTATAAATAACAATCAAATGAACAAGATAAAATTGCGTAGCGGGAGACCTGTAGTGTTGCAAGTTACAAGTTACAACCCTTAAACCCTCCAGTTACCTGTGTTTTGGTGTCAATTCAGTAGGCTATGGTTTTAGGTCTCGTGCGGGAAACGGTAAATAATAACCGTTTTCGTTTCATTTATATATACCGTATGGATATGATGTGGACCAGATCAGCAGCAGGTGTTTATTTATCATCCAGGCCATAAATACGTACGAACTATAAGCGTTAAACATTTTTTACACCGAAAAATCATAGCCTCCTAAAAAGAACAGAAAAATACCAAAAACATTTATATATATTTTTTCCTATCGTGTCCCAAATCCCAACATATGAACCGCCAAAATGTCATTTATTGCTTTATTTGGAATACAAACCAAAGCGAACTCAAGTGTGTGCACCAATGGAATCGCAGTTGTTATAACGTGTCGTGTCAGGTGTCACTCGTGACACCACTGAGTACCGACCCGTGCGCCGTGGCAGTCACACTCACTATTTAGTCACTGGACGCTCGACGCTACAGTGGGCAATACTGGGGAGTGGTCTACATAGTGACTACTACTACTACTACTAGAGAGAGAGTGACCACTCCGGCAGAATGGCACTGACACACTCACGTTATCGCACACTCTCAGTCACCGAATAGTATTTCCTGCGTGATTTTTCATTTACGTATGAACTTTAAAACAGAGGGGTTAAGGGCTGTAAGTTGCAAGTTGCAAAAGTGCTGTATAGGCCATGTCCTTTCTTTCTGTGTATCGTAAATAGTATATTACATACAACTACGTATCTAAAGCGTTGTTGTTAGTTTCTTGATTTTTCATACATAGCCTCCTAAATGTTATTATTTTAGGAGGCGATGGATTTGATAAAATCAATAAAACCACACATAGCCTCCTAAATAATACAGGAGTCTATAACCACACGACATAAATACATATTTGCATAATACTCAACGTTTTTTCTATCTTAGAAGGCTATAATATGAATAAATATAAACGTTAGTGTTTATATAAACCACTTATATTATGGGACACTACATTTAATCGCATACTTTTCGGAGACCAATTAAAGTGCACGAAGAACAGCACCAACATGCGCAGTTAGTCAGTTTAGCTAGCAAGGGTTCTTCTTAATATTGCCTTTTTAATGTCGTGGAACCTTCAGCATGTCAAATTTAAACAAGAGATATAAACTCCTGTTAGTAGTACACAGCTTGGAGGCTTTGCACAGAAATTAATTCAAAATATTAAATCATACATC